GGTTTAATCTTCAGTACCTAAACTGTAAACCTGGTGTTACAACAGAAGGGAAAGTAGCTTAATATTCTTTTACATTTATCGTCAAACGGGGATTAAGGCAGGATCTTCTTACTCCCATTGCATTAATTAACCACCTCTTCAATCTGCTACCCCTCTTATTAAATGTAATTGAATGGTATATCAAAGGTGTTTTAAGATGACCTTTGGTTTCAGGAATTTGTTTGCAGATAGTATACCCCTCTAGGGAAATAGACCATTAAAAGGAGCTCTCAAAACTACAGTTCAAAGGTTCAGTTCCATTAAAGAAAAAAAAAGCTTCCAAATCAAAAGAAATATGGCCACTTCCCTTCATTAACCTGTGAGTTATATTTTTTTTCTTTTGCTTTTCTTTCTTCGGTTTTATAACCCAGGAGATACTTGAGCACCTGGTTTTACATGTTGAGAGAAATTCCCTTGAAGAGAAAAACAGTGGTGATAAAAACCCCATCCAGGCAGGTAGTCCAAGAAAAATCCTCATTAGATACAAGTGATGCTCCCAGAGGCAACTGATTTCTAGATATATTTTTACTTCAATAGTTTCTATGTAGTGCACTGAAGAAACGTGGAAAGACCAAGCCATTACTTCTTAATTACCTTTGTGCAATATATGGCTCATATCACAGAAAGCACTCCTATCATTTCCAGCCAAGAAAATAATGCTTTTCCATCTATTCCAACTCACCCTTCTCCCAAAAACATTTAACGAGCCAGACATTAAATCATTATTACTAACCATACCAATAAATGACAACTTTGCCAACAAAGAATACACAGACAGATTGCAAGATTGAATCCTAATCAGTTCTTAAACCTCCACACTCCCTAATTCTTCTAATCTTATCTGTTGACTAAACATGGCTTACGAGACAATTGGTATGTATTAGGAAAGCATGATAATAAAAGATACGTGAAGGAAAATGTTCACAAACAGCTGACAGCAAAATGTACATCAAGCTTGTGCACCTGTTTTAGGTGTTTCTACTTTAAGCCAAATAAAATAAGAAATAGAAATGTCATGTAATCAATCTCTGTACTTCAAGAAATCATGCTGTTCAAAAAACATACCCCACATTTCTGAAGGGAGTGAGCAAAAGTGATTCAACAGAACTCTAGCTAAAATGAAAGAAATCCTGTGTGTGACTGGCACAATCAAACTGTTTGCTTCCCATTCCATTCATTGCAATCTGAGAGGTGTCTATTAATGGTACTGTAGACCAGTTGCTCATCTAGGACAAAGGAATTCAATGTTGCTTTATCAAGTGACTATACATCCTTTATCAGCATGGGTATATCTGTTAGAGTCAGTAGAAGGATTTCCCCATTGATTTAATGAACATACTACAGTGTTTACACTTCCAGTATCTATTATCCTAACAGCAAAGCTATTGTTTTACCATGACTAGCCCACTTATGAAGCTTGTTCTTTGAGAAACACTCTATTGATTGTAACTGGCATGAGGAGTTGCCAGATTTCATTGTAATTCATCTCTTTCTTTATTCAGCCTCTAAGCCAGCTTTCAGACTTTGCAGGAAAAATGTCTTAACAGATTGCGGCTTTAACAAGAAGGGTGGATGGGGAGTAAGCAGGTGGAATTCACAGGTTTAACTGATGCCTAATTTTGAGTGCCAAATTCCTTGAAATTTTCTTTGCTTCAGAAAAATAAGCAAAGAACACCAGAATTACTCCAAGTATATTTCATCCACATGTGTAATGCACAGCTATATAATTTTGCTACTCTCTCCTCCTTTTCAAAATGTATCAATATCCCTTAACTTGCTCTTCTACAAGTCTCCATTGTCTGGAAAGCATTCCAGTCTTTCCAGCTGCCTTATTAAAACTGTTCACTGGACTAATATTCCACTTGTCTTCTTAATAAAAATGTCAATGTCTTCTTTAAACTGACCCCTGCTGCAAAATGAGAATTGCAGAATTGCATTAGATTTCTTTTATATTTTAGCAACATGATTTGATTCTAAAAGCATTCCCATCCCTTAAGCACTTATATGAAAAACCACCATTCCAACTGTATGTATTTCTCAGTTTCAACAAATGAACATTTATTTTAAAATGCGGCTGTTTGCTTTTGAAATGAAAGCACTGGAATAACAATTACTGAAACCACAGAAGAGGATTTGACCCCTGACTGTGTTTGCATTTTACATTCTCCAAAATGCAGTGATTGCATTTTGCAATAAAAAATGAGTAACAATTAAGTCTGAAAATGGCAGATGCGCTCTACTTATACTAAGTTTACTGTACTTCTTAATAAAAAGAACTTTAAAAATGTTGAAAAGAGCTTTAGTGCTGGGGCAAAATTTTATTTAACTCAAAATATTCTAAAATAGATATCAACATTTTTGATCACACTATATTTTACAAACATTTTTATTTGAATGTATTTGCGTTTATGTCTGCTGTTTTCGTTTGAATATAGAGGAAAATTTCCTTGAATGTTAACAATATTTTGTAAACCAAGATCTCCAACAAATATTTTCAAAAGTGAGAAAAAACAAAGCATGAATCCTACCAGTTCAAGTTTTATGAACTCCGTTCATTATGATGTAGAACCTGGCTGTGCAGTTACTGTCGAGATGGTATTTAAATGGAAACATTTGTTCTCTAGGTGGACTATCTCTACAGATGGCATACTTTAGCAAGACAAACTTGGAGTTAGTCTATAAATATCTAGGCTACTGACTGGACTGTACTTTATCTTCAAAACTCAACTAAATTGCAAGCTAGAGTCAGGTCTAGACTTATTTTCCTTTATTGAAGAAAAATGTTTTTCATGCTCCTCCAGGAATCCATTAGTTCTAACGTATGTATTCTCTGTTTTGGACAATGGTGATGATGTTGACTAAATGGTCTCTAAAGCTGGTAGCATAGGAAACTTGATTATCTAAGGTGTCCCCTATTACACTATCATTGTGATCTTTAAATTTCAATTAATTGGCCCTGTCTGCAAGCTAGATGAGTGCTTCACTGGTTTATGTTAATTTACAGATCTCCGTATCATAATTTATTGCAGTTTTCTGTATCATCCTGCAATCTAAGACGTAGTACTTTTATTAAGCAGAACCTTGTAGAGCAACTACAGACTTTGGGAGTAAGTCATTTTAATTTGCTGCTGCCAATGACTGGAACAATCTGCAGAGTAAGCTGAAACCAGCCACCTTTGTATCTGAGGGCGTTTTCAGCTGTATAATCAAATCTTTTCTGACTGACACTTGCACTTGTTATCACTGCCATGTCCTGCTATGTTATATTCTTTTACTGTATATTTAATTTTTTGTATTGTTGCTCTTCCTTTCACTGCCTTTTCTTATGATGCAATCCAATGTTTCAGTTCCAAACAGAAGAGATTCAGCACCATGGATAGCTCTCTGCAGATTACTATAGCTTTTTTTATTAAAAAGAATGAAAGTTATTGGAAAGACTTTAAAAACTTTTCTTTCCAAGCTAAAAATGTATTCTTCATTTCGAGATGCTAATTTTACATTAAACATTTTAGAGTTGTATGTTTTTACATACAAACGCTGCAGAATAGCCACGACTGAATGTTACAAAACCAACTATTCAGTGTAGACATACACTGCACATAATACTATCTTATTACACAACACTATTAGTCATATAATAAGTGACAAAACTGCACCCCAACTGTAAAATGCAATAAGAAGCAACTAAAATATATATGATCATATGTGCACTATGATAAAAAAAATATCAGTTGTTGTCAAAAATTTTATTTTAATACAGTAGATGACTATTGCTTTGCGAACACACAAAGATGGCCGCACACAGTACTGCAAAAATAAAGATTCGGTTCTGAATACTGTAACATTTTATTAGAAAATTTATGAATTTTCTTGAAATAATCCAAAGGGGTAGCCATTTCTGTCTTTTTTGGAACATTCGTAGAAATCTCTAGTTATTCCGGTCACACATTTCCACTGCAACACCACCACAGACCAGGAGAGCTTAAGACCCTATATGACTGTACTGCAACACCTAGTGAAGTAAAGACAGCTATGGATATTCAGTCAGCTGTTCTGAACAACAGGATCATGTCTAATCTTTTACCCATAACCTTCAGGCTCACAAGCTGTTAGCTAGCTGCAGTATGATGAATCACTAAAGACAACCCTAAACTTTTTAAATATTATGTACATGCACACACACATATTTGTCTTGTTCCTATTTTCCAGCAATGTCATTAGATGGCCTTTTATTTTAGCTTTGGGATTAGCATATTAAGACAACGAAAATAGCAATAGCTTGGATCAATAAAATCATGAAATATAAACGTCTCAGTATATTCATATCATGTGATATGAATGTTCTCTTTCCAAAAAAATACTAAATCAAATGTCTTTTTCTGCTCTTCTTTCCCATGCCTCTCCATAAGCTTTGTATTTCAGTGCTCTGAGCTTGAAAGACATTAAAATGTCCAATCATATATCCACATGGATGCAATCACAAGTACTGTATTAATAGTAACAATTTCTCATTTTTTTAAATTCAGCCCTAAGTCTGTCATTTATGCCTTCTCTTGAAAACTCATTCATTGGCTGAAATTCAAGTTTTAACATTTGAGTCCTCAGCTCTGCATAATACCTTAATATGGTCTTTGTATAGTGATTTCCATTTCCAGTCCTCAAGGCTCAATGTGATTCTCACTGTGGCACCTTGCTCATTTCAGTTAAACTGCTGTTGCTGACCTTTTCACCTCATTTACTGATCTCATCAAATAGTAATTTCTGTCAGTAGGTGTGCAAATTACAGTTAGCACCTTGTTTTAGGACTGATTATTTCGCTATGTCTTTTCACACAAGAATACACAGAGTAAAATAACAGAGGTGTAAGCTCTGTAACCCAGAATTCTGTCTCAGCTTCTTTTAACACTTCACCACTGCTGGTACAGTATGTGATTTCATGTAGTAGGATGCTCTGAGCTTACCTCTATGATGTCTTTCTCAAGATGTCTTCTTCCTGCAAAAGATTTTAGAAAGGAAACAAATTAATTGTCTTCTGACACTAGTCGTGCCTAAGCTACCACTAATAGAAATTACATGTATGTTAAAAATATGGTGGCAGAGGGAAGGGAACAGAAAAAAAGTATGACTGCATAAATCCGTGATGCTACAGTATAGGTTGCCTGATTGGCCAAGTACAATTTTCCATAATGGTACAATAGTGAAATAAATGCGATGAATATGCTTAATGTAATGGTAATTTTAAAAAGTAACTATGAAATCCTTTGGGTTTGGGTATAATGTTGTATTTCTAAGGTTTATGCATAGCAGACAGGCAGGTACTGTAGGTGTTCTTAACATTTTGCATGTTTTCCAACATGAGGCCATTAGCTATGGTTCAGTGATAAGGCCATATTCTATTGGTTCAGTTAATTCATATTAGGACACAAGTATCAAATAATGATGTTATGGCATAATATTATAACATTACTATTAATATTATGGAAATATCCACATACAAATACAATGCTATAAAAATGCAAGAAATTATAATTAGCAGTGTAAGAATAGACCATGGAGGATAAATTATACTCCCAAGAAAATGGAATAATGTAGGCTCACTCTATAATGAAAAGTTAAAAAAGAATGAAAGCTTCCACATTTTTCAATTAGAATGGAAATTAGTGTGCTCAAAAACGGTAAATGTATGTTAAATTAACACAATACAAAGTTACAGTAATATAACCAACTGTTCAAGATGTATTAGGAATACTCAAAACAAAACATCTTCAACTACCTGGTAATCCAATTCAAGTACAGTAAATATGGATTTAATATAGATATAGTAAATATAAATCTAGATTGTATCTGTTAAATCAGAAATTCCAGATTTTCCCTGCTATCAAGGAGAAATGGGTCTTAAAGGCTTGGATATTAATGGTGCCCAGGGTTAGAGCAATTGGTATAGAGGTACGTGAGTTGGGTGTTGTTTTATATGTTTTATATGCTTTAGCGAGTGTTTAAAAACAACTAAACATTAAACTATACTCCACTATGTTAATAATATATGAATATATTTAATTTTATATAGTATATTCAAAACATGAAATAAAGAACCTGCATATAAGTATATATATACTGTAGTATACTCTAAATATACCTCATATTCAGTTATAGAGTGTTTTTGTGCTGACAAAATGTAAATTATTTAATAAACATTCAGTAATAATGAATACCCACATTAGCCTGTTTTAACTGAGGATTTACTGTATTCAAAATCTTAAAGGCAGTAAGTCAATCCAGAAAGATGGATGAGAAAACTATGTGGAAGTGCATTGAAAACTGAGAACAGGAGACACTTTTACACAGAGGGTTGTTGGGGTATGTAGCAGGCTACCTGGCATGTTTGTTGAAGCTGAGATACTGACTTCTTTTAAGAAATGTTTGGGTCAGTTCTCCAGATCAATTAGCCTCCATATGCTCGTTCTTATCTTCCTGTATTGAGTGGCATAATTCTATTTCAATAACTTATTTATGGTATACACTGAACTTATTATGTAGCATTATATTATATAGCATTATTATATAGCATGGCTTATGACTCAGAGATAAAACAGTACCCATCCCTTTGATACCTTAAGCTATTTCTAGGAGATCACTCCTGAAGTAGTAAAACCAGTCTTTGTACCAGCTGAATTAATAATGCAGGTGAGATGTCAAGCTGACAGGTGCAGAAAGACCAAATAAAATATTTTTTTCCAGCTCAGTTTTAATTATCTTGGGAAGAGATTCTGGGGAGGCAAGGAGTCAAAGCTACCTCTGTACTTCATTATTTTTTCAATTACAAAAAGTTGTTTGTGGTCCTTTTTAACAACTCTTGCCCTATCCAGCTATCTTTGCCCAGTGGAGACATAGAGCTCAGAGGTGAATGATTCCCAGTTCAGTCAAGTAATGAAAAGCAAGAAAAGCTAATTTCTAGCTCAACTGATGTGTTATACTTTACAGCCAAATGCACAGCCAGGACAAGCCGGATGATAGCTTCTGTGCTATTCCAGGATTGAGGAGGTAAAAACAAATTGCTTTACGTTCTAGCCCTGCCAAAATCCATAATGTTTTCCTTGTCAGACTTCTATGGCAGCTGGATAATCACAGATTGCATGATAAGTATAAGCTTGGCCAAATTCATTCAATACCAGGTTAAGCTGACATCTCACCTAGCCTTTCATAACACGTGATCAAACTGTTCATGTGAAGCAGACTGTAAAAACTCTTCTGCTCTTGCATTAACAAATAGGTTTGAAGTCAAAGTGAAACTGGAGGTATTTGATTCAATTTTCAATATGATACTTTGCATATTATTAATGAGAGAATAGTTGGACAGACAAAAGACATCAGGCCTGGGATTTTCATACTTTAATATTTCTTGAAAAGTTTATTTAATTACCATACTCTAAAGGCTTACAAACACACATTTTGCACATTATATACTGAGAAACTTATATACATTATATATTAACTTCTGCATATGTGTTCTTCTGTACTGTACAGTCTTTAGCAGATCACAGTATATGGGATTTTTTTATCAAATTGATTTTAGATATTATTTTCATGTCATTTTGATCAATGAATCCATCATAATGACAGCGTGAGTTGTATAAACATTAAATCACCTTTTAAGTAAGTAAGTTGATCGGGCATAGATATTGAGGTGTTTTAACCTCTTGAACATCACGTCTGGTGAATATTAAGAAAGTAAAGCACAGAAGGGAATCAATATGCCCTATTTATCAAGAGAATAATGCCTTTGTGCTACCAGAAATGTTAGAGGGTTTCCCCATTTAGGGTGTTCACAGCCTGCAATTTCTAACCAGACAAAGTCTAGTAATGATCTGGGAGACCATGAGTCATGACACTCCTCTAAGATAGACATATCATCATCCATGTGAAACATCCCCTGGGCAGGGGATGTCTAGTTACTGCAGAATTCACTTTAAGTAATTGATGTCAGCCTGATCAATGCACTGCACTGATCAAGTCCTTGGAGCTCACTTGCTCTATCCTGGAGTGACAAAATTAAAGCAGGACAAAGCATGTACTCATATTTACCATGTATTTAACAGTAACATTTGAAAATGAGAATGTGACATCTAGGGTTGAGGATACCATGCGCAGTGTACGTTTGTGGGATGAGCTCAGATAATGTGTGACATCCAGGGCTTGGACAACGATGCTGGCACATTCTTGTCCATACTCTAAGACAGGAATGTGAGACAGCATTAGGAGCTTTGTGCAAAGCATGCATCACAGATTTATTGTTTATAATGCTTCCAGCAGAAGCCACATGCCACTATCCTATACCTTTCACAGAAGACTGCCTATTTATCAATCCTGAGGTCTGCAGTAGGTGATCAGCATAATTAATTTACCTTTATCATGTGTGTTTAATAAAATAAGTGCACATGCTACAAAATATTGTCATTTTTCTGATAAATTTAGGAATTTGTTTTAGTAATCAGTGAATAAGAAAGTATGACTTTAATCAATGCACAGATTTTAAAATAAAAAAATAAATATGATTAATTTATCTTTCTAAATAATACAGAATCTGGGATTAATGCTGACCATAGTGGAACTAGAGCTTATGCTGAATGAGCAAAATGCTCTGACTGAGACACTCTTTGCACTTGTCAGATATCAATCCATTTAATATGTCACGTTAAGACTGAATAAAGCGAAAGAGAAATGATGAAGAAATGTAGAATTTCAAAAAATGCCTTAAGCTTTCAGGCAACCAGTCCGGAGGAAACCAATCTGTTCTTCAGCCTGTCAGTTTTTTAGGTGTTTCTTTTCTCATCATCATTTTTTTTTATTATAGGTATAATAACCTTCAATAGCCTCTAGCATTTGTGAGATATTGCTTTTTGCTTCTGGACGTTTGCGCTCTCTGGAAATGATAGGCTGGTGGCTTGTCAAATACTTTGTAGCCTGTCATGTTACAGCTGATCATTACAAGCAGCATCAAAGAAATCTGTAAGTAAAGGCCGAGCAAATTCATCACAAGCCTTTGATTTCATTTTAGCACACTAATAACCTCAGCACAGATATAAAGTATAAGGTTACATTCCAGGCATCAGTAACTGCTAAATAGTATCATGCAAAATGGAAAGGAACTTAATTTTTAAAACTTTTTAGCAATCCCAACAAACTTTATAGTGACAAACTTTCTATGATTACAGTTCAAACAAAATCGGAGAAAGTACTACCCATGGATTCATATTTTATACATTCTCTTTGAAGTTTGAGAGAAGCACAGATTTCACTTTTATGGCCAGAGATAATGAATCCAATAAGCTTAAGCCAATAATTGATGATTTCATCATAAAACCATATTACTTAATTCTAAAATAAGCAACATCTCTGCTCCATGAAGTGTGATCCATTGAAATAAGAGAAAACATAGCAGTACAGTACCAATATTCATATACTGTATGTATGGCAAATCTTTAGTGAATGTTTAATAAAATACTTCAAACATTCCAGTTACAGTATATTTATTAATGGATTTGAAAACAAAACAAGTCAGTCTTTAAGACGAAAAAATTGGAATTCAGACAATGATGGCCATTGTTTCATTTGACATTGATTGTAACCTGTATTTTGTAGTGACATTTTTAATCAGTTGAAAAGCTGAAAAGTTCAAAAAGCAAAAAAAAACACACAAACAACTGTATCAATGTGTCTCTTGTTAATAGAGGAAAGATAAATGAAGAAAAATATTAACCTAACCCTTTCTGTCAAATCCATTATGCATATCTTATACGAAACTAAATTAATTTTCAATATGATGTTCTGTCCCGTGGGTGATGGATTGGAAAACCAAAATGCACTGGAGGGAGAAAAAACAAAATAGCTAGTGATACTAGATATTACTGAAAATGAGAACATGGTGTTATTGTTTAAAATAATACAGATTTTTGCGTAGGCATTGACAAAGTGACATTCAGCACTATGTTACAC